TGGCGAAGCGTTTCAGCTTCTGCCCTCTGCTCTCCGGCTCGCTCCTCTTGTGATCGCCCAAGCCGTTGGCGATGGTCGGGTTGTCCTGGTGCGCTTCACCGTTGGACGTCTTTACATCTTCTATTGAGATATTTTCTTCTGCCATTGTGCTGTCTGAAGGTGGGAGAGTTGGTGTAAAAGTCTTTGGTGTGAGCTGATCGTCTCTGCTCTCTCCTCATGTGCTGGCAGCATGGAAGTGATTTGGCGTAAAAACGCGCCTCTACGGAGGAGTTTCCACTAGCTATAGAGTCATTAGGGTGGAGCGTTCATCATGCAAATACGGTCTGACTTCTACTGGAAAACATAGATTCATATCCTCTTGAGACCCAGACAAAAAGATTATGACACACACACACACACACACACATATATATATATAATTTTTAAATATAAAAGCACATGCACACTTTTAAATTAAATATTTAACAAAAAGCTCTTTGTTAGGTTTAAAATGATAAAAACAATATATACTGGTCAAAATGACAAAGACAAAAAGTATTGTGACACTTTGTGGTTGTGAAACATTAGAGTGTGTGACAAATTACACCTGCATTGCTCTGTTTAAGCAAGTTAGTTGGTTAAAGTAATTAACAACATGCACACACATTGTTGAAGTTCTGACAAAAAGTCTGGCAATTTATTTGCTAAAATGTCTAAAAGAAAGTTGTCTTTTAGAAAAAGTCTATCATTTGGTCATTAATTTCATATTGTATATGTATTTAATATCTTCTTAAAGTGTGGCTTAAAGGGATAGTTCACCCAAAAACGCTGGTAACCAAACAGTTGATGGCCCCCATTAGCTTGCATAGTATTTTGTCCATACTATGGAAGTCAATGTTCACCAGCAACCTTTTTGTACCCACTTTTTTTTTCTTCTTCTTTCATGTTCAACAGAAGTAAGGAATTCATAGAGGTTTGCAACAACTTAAGGGGTTAGTAAATGACAACAGAATTTTCATTTTTAGGTTATTATATTAGCCTATAAATGTGACCCTGGAGCACAAAACCAGTCATAAGTAGCACGGGTATATTTGAAGCAATAGCCAACAATACATTATATGGGTCAAAATTATAGATTTTTCTTTTATGCCAAAAATCATTAGGATATTAAGTAAAGATCATGTTCCATCAAGATATTTTGTAAATTTCCTACTGTAAATATATCAAAACTTAATTTTTGATTAGTAATATGCATTGCTAAGAACTTAATTTG